TGGTAGATTCTTGGAATACCATATTTTTAATATCAAGTCTTCGTGACAAAAGCTTTCTATTGAAACCAACAATTTAAACTAGGGATGTCAAAATTGTCAATAATTGATATTCGAATATTCGATAGTAGTATTCGAATATATTCGAATATTCGATAAAATAAATACATCTTGCATTATAATATGTATACATCTTCACTCTTTTGTAAAGCAATATACGTTTTATGTCATTATTTTGGAATAAAATTTCATGTAGAGTTTTGTAAATGCACTATAATTAAATGTTTATTCTTAAAATATTTTACAGAATATATGAAGAGTTTACGTCCAAAATATAATTAAAAAAATTTTCCCCGAAAATTCAAAAGATTCTTCTTATAAGTTCCAGATTAATTAATCATCTTACCAAAGTGTACACTGATAACCCTTCAGATTTATACCACACAGAACAATTATCTAATGGAGAAACATTAAAAGCAATTACTCTAAGCTAATTAATTTCCTGATAATGATTTTAATTGATGTATACAATCATAAACAAGGGATCCATGTGTGTTACTTAAAAGATGTGGCCTTTCAACAATACAAATTAATTCTAAGTACTGGACACTGTTATACCTCTAATTAAATGATCAAATGAATATTTTTTTTTATCATTTTAATAGATACACTCTTCACACCTTTAAGGTAATCAAAGAGGAGTGTCTTTTAATTTTGTTTTAAATAAAATCTTATTGTTGGTCAACGATAAGAATTTGATTCAATTTCTAAAAAAACTTCAGTTTTTGCCAGATTTTTTTCTTTCTGATGCTTGTATACTTAAAATCCGAATATTCGAATCATAAATTTATATTCGAATATCAACTCATCGAATGAATATTCGAATATTCGAATATTCGTTGACATCCCTAATTTAAACCATTTAACCTTAGAAATTACGAATTTACAAGAAAACTTTAACTGGCCACAACTTTTGAATTGTAATATTTAGATCTTTATAATTTCACTTATATAGTCATTGCGAAAAGACCTTTCTTTGAATTTCAACACCTTCAACACTTTAACTTTGACCTTGGTTTTTGACCTACTTTTTGCAAACATATCCGTGTTTGTCCAACCTTTAATAACGCTTACTTTGTCTGTAACCTTTGAACAGGTGATGCAAGGGTTTTTTATGTCATACTATATTTGTATTTTTTTGAATGGCCTTACTTTAGGTACCAACATATTTGATCTGCATTTGAGAAAGCTTTACCTTCGCTATGTTGCCATACGGGGGCATCAATGTTTCACAAACATATCTTGTTATTGCATGCTGTTGTTTCTTGGAAGGATTAAAGACGTAAACCCCATACACCTTGGTATATACGTAAACAATTAATTCATAACATGCTTTCATTTTTATCAAATGCATACAATAACAAAAATATTTTTGTCAATTTTTTTTTTACAATGCAATTGATTAAAAAATTGATACTCTTTAATCAAAAAATATGTAGATTTTATTTTAACACCTTTGATAAAAAAAATTATTTAGATTTTTTTTTTTTTTTTGCTTTCTTCAAATCTGAATTTAAACTTTAAATAAAGAGCTGCACATTAAATCTGGAAAATAGATTTCTGCAGTGTATCAAAATTGTTCATTTCTAATTTCACCCATAAACATTATATTCCCTTGTTATTTAAATTGAAATAAAGGTTGGCCTAGGTTTGTTTATGCTCATTAGAAAATATTCTATTTTTACACATACCACGACGCAAAAAAGATAATACTTTCCCTTCAAATGTCTATTGAATTTGGATACAGCGGACCAAATTTTATACTTTTTTAGAGCATTCAGGATGTAAAGCAACAACTCATTGTATCGGTGGTGTTTCAAATTTGAAGATGATATAATTTTTTTCTTGTCCTTTTCTGCAGAAGTTGATGTCAACGGTTAATTTGCATTTCGTGCCAATGTTTTGACATTGACGACAATGAAAGACTCATTTTTGATAATGAAACACCTGCGGCGTATCAGAACTGGAATCCTAACGATGAGGGTGAGACAGCAGTTGACCCAATCTTTGGCCTCCTTTTGACGTATAATAACGACGGCATGTGGCGCTGGGTGACTGAGAGAAACTACACGTACTATACAGGAGAAGACGGACTAAAACTCCCCTTTATTTGTGAGGATTCTCCATTTTATTTGGAGCATGAAGAGTGTTCTGTTACATAATGATTCATTCTCTCTAAATTAAAATAAACATTTGCAACCATTATCTTTTGTTATATAATTTCATTAAGCAAGGTGTATAAAGTTCTAAATCATAATATGGAGTATTCTTAAGTTAACCTTGGATCGTATATTCGTCTCCTCGGAAATCATCTAGATTTATCCTCGGATCGTATATTCCTCTCCTTGGAAGAGATCTAGATTTATCCTCGGATCGTATATTCCTCTCCTTGGAAGAGATCTAGATTTATCCTCGGATTGTATATTCTTCTCCTCGGAAGAGATCTAGGTTTATCCTCATGTTTTAAATAAACTTTAAATATCATGTACACAAAGACAGACCGTGCATTATATTGTGTCGTTATTTTCCCAAGGAAAATGACTGGGATCTCCTCTAACCATACATACAAACATTTTAGCTCAAAGTGTTGTTTTTAAAATTTCTATCCGTAATCCAAAAAATAAGGGGCAAATATATTTTCCTAGGACGGCCGGTCCAGTTGTCTGTTTTTTAGTTATTTTTTTTTCCTGATTTATCTGTAAGTGGAAAATAAATTAGCCCTGACTACAGCCTTTAATTGGTTTGAGCTAAGGATTTCATATTTCACAGTTTTTTTTCTATAATTTGACGGTCAATTTGGAATTTGGAATTGGGGCCTTGGTCATATGAACAATGGCTTTAATATTTCACTGGTGTATTCAACGTGTAAAAACTTTTCCTAGGGTAAAGGTATTTTTAACTTTGATCTTTATGTTTGACTCACTTTTAAAGAAATTTTCAAAATTTTATTCTTAGCCATAGCTACTACATGGTTAAATCAAGTGATATCATACTCCTCACGCTCATATTTTGATAAGACCTTCTCTTGAGTACAAGCAGTAATGACCTTTAACCTTTAACTTATGGATTTGACCTACTTTTCAAAAAAGTAAACTTTGGTCGTATTTTCGGAATATTTAGTACAAGGGGTTAACTATTTTACGGGTTCATTTCTTGTGGTAGGAGCTTCTCTTGAATACCAATATTTTCTTTTAATATTTTTATCCTTTTATTTGGACATCAGACTTTGATCACCTTTTGAAAAAAACTTTGGTGATAACTTTTGAATGGTTGATTTCGTGACTTTTATATTTCACCTGTGTATTCTTTCTGAAATTCTTTTGGGCATCATTAATATTGACTCCTTGACCTTGTCCAGTTTGCCCTACTTTTGAAAATCTCTAACTTTGGTCATAATTACTGAACTGTTGCTGCTTATATGGTTTTTATTTTAGAAGGTAGACTCATTGTGAGGAACGTTTCTTTTGGTACCAAAACTACCTTTATATTGAACTTGGTGTTTGACCTGCAAACGAAAACATTTATCATAAGCCTCTTTGTTTCACAAACTTTTCTTGACTTTTTATCATTAGCTTCTAAAACTTTTCCTATTGATTTAATAACAAATTTCAAGTTGTAGTCTATCAAATATTTGGATATACTAGTATATAAAACATCGTTTACACATTGCATAAAGGAAAATGACTTGTCACACATATTGAATCATTTTTTAAAGATGTAGTCTCATAATTACAAAAGTTTTAGCAAACATATTGATTAATGTTAGCTTGCTTTTTATTTGCAAAAGCAGTTGCAAATATAAGATAACATCTTTCAAAAAATAATGAATCGGTGCTCATTTTTTTTCTCACTCCTTGTTTTGCAAATTTGATTTTTTTTCTAACTTACTTAAATTATCTCTAGCCTAAATAATGAATTTAAGTTATCTCAAATTTTGCTTTTAAGATTTGTGACGTCAAAATAAAACGTGTATTACAAATGTAAACTTTTAATCCCCGATCTGTGTTAGAGTGTTTTGAAATAAAAAAAACACACACAATAAAAAATTACAGTCGATTTAAAAAATATATATATCTTAACATCTTTATTACAATGAAACTTGTTTTATCCGACATGCACGGGGAACAAATTAAAAATATATGTGTTGGAATAAACAAGATGTAGTATTGCAGCGTGTAGAGATCATTGAGATAATTATAAATGACAAATGAAATTAAATGGCTGAAATCACAGTAAAGAGTATTGCATGTGTCGGATTAAACAAGTTCCATTGTAATAGATTTAACAAAAAAGTAATCTTCATCCTAATTCTCCGCCCTGTTATCTCCATTTATCAGTGTTTGTAAAAAAGAACGAAATATTTCTATTTTCAAATTTATTACAACACATATAAAATACATCTTTTACTGAATACATCCAGTATCGCTTTACAGAGCCGTTCAACCACCTTCTTTTACTATTTTTTACTTGATGTTAAATATTAAAAAAAAGAACTCAGCGATAAAAATTAATTTAAAATCGTCTCTTGGGGGTTTCCGTAATCCATGGATGATCTTTCGTCTGTCAAAAAAATTAAATCAATACTTTACAGATAAATGTAAAATAGCATATTTTTTTTTCTATTTCCAAAATAAGCAACTTTTATAACTGAAATTTTCAGAATAATACAAAAAGAAAAAAATGGATATTAAGATGTAATTATGTTTACCTAGTTCCGTCTGATCATCATTGAAGTCACCTTCACTGATGTCCCACTCGTTACTGTGGGATACCATGGGTAGGGCCAGGACCCCGGGGACCATTGACCGTTAAGGAAGGCCTGGTGACAGGCATTTAACCACCAGCCTCCTCTAATGTAACTGAGAGCAGCGCAGTTATAACTCCACCTGTCGTTATCTCTGTCTGGGGTACTGAAGGACATACCAGACAGATCGTAGCTTCTCTTATAAATAGACACAACAGTCATCTCCAGTCAATCTGTCGTTATCTCTGTCCGGGGTGGTGAAATACATCCCAGACAGACCCCTGTAAGAAGAACCAGTGTCCAACATACCGTCTCCTGTAAAATTAAAAAAGAAAAATATTACATGGACACTTGTTTAAAATAGATCAGTAGATTTATATCCACTATACTCGTCGTGATCTCTGTCTGGTGTGGAGAAGAACATCCCAGACAGATCGTGGTAAAATAAAACCTGTATTTAACATACTGTCCCCTGTAAAATCAAACAAAAAGAATCACAAAGTTAATTGATTTATATATTTTTAATCTAATTGTCAATAATAATACTGAGGTACACCTAAGAAAGACGACTTAAGGTGCTGGGTAGAGCGATAATATTTATTAAGTTCAGCCGTAGAATCCCTGGTGTCTATCATACTGGCATATGCAGAATTAGAGAAAATATATTACAGAGAAAATAGTTATTAATTTACATCACATTAATCTTAATACTGAAGTACGTCTAAAATACATTGTTTAACGTGCTGTTTCCTGTACGGAGAGATAAAAATAATACAAGACAACAAAACACTACACAATTCACATAGCATCCTTTCTAGTGTAACAATATACAACAGACGGGTTACACTGTGGGTGGGGGGGGGGGTTAAAGGTCATTTGAAATTCTAGAAAATATGAAAAAAAGAAATTTTAATATTTGTCCGAGAACGTGCCTTCAAAAATGTATAACATGCAATTTAAAGTAAATCATAAATAAAAAGATAAGATATGGTGTATCTGTGAATCTTTAAAGATGGTAGATTTCCTATTAAATAAATGTAAATGTGAAACGCGTTGAGGTCTTTTGAATTTGGCATTTTAAGCTTTTTTTATTTGAATATTTATCCGATCAATTATTTTTTATCATCAAATTTTTGCAAACCTTTAGACATTTAAGAGTAATGACGCACTGTAAACTTCTTATTCAGTAGTAGTAAAAAATTTGGATCATTGAAAATCAGATTATTATTTAATTATTATTATTGTAAACTTTTTTCCGTATCAGTTAAAATGTGAATTATAAAAAAATATCAGGAAACCCAATCTGAAAAGCAATGTTGAACAAATGTAATTATTGGATTTGTTTGTTTAAAAAAAATAATTTTTCCTTGTACATAAGATGTATAATTAGAAATTTTATCTACATGACAATAACAAATTCAATATCTACTGAGTATATGAATTGTATCTGCAAATGAAATTCTGTAATATTAAACATGCTTATATAGCGTGGAATCAAATAAGTATACATAATATCAGAAAAAAACCCACATCTTTCTTTCTTTCAAGAACTTTATAATCTTTCAATACAGAAAAGAATACTTATTGATAATATACGTAATTTGAACCCAATTATAAGAACTTAACGTGAATACACAAACCAAAAGTTCCACTGACAGGTCCAGCAAGAAAGAGTTGATATTGTTCTGATTCGTCGGAGACAGAGAATCGGTCGTACATTTCATACAGCGTTGTACCATTCTGGAGAGTGATGGATACATACAGGGATGAGGTGTTTTCTTTTGTTAATTTATGGATTACGTCATTCCCTGTATTAAGATATATTTGAAATCATCTGAAAAGTTCATCAAATACAATCAATTCTTTTAAAATCTATATGAATCTACCGTAATGAAAAATCAAATTATTTTCCATAACTGTAAACAATATTGCTGAATTTGGTCTCATTAGAATATGCCGCTAAATGATATTCTTCTTTCTATTTTCTTTTTATTATTTGAAATATCAATTAAACACGATATCTGAATATCATAGAACACACATTACCTGGTCTTAACTTTAGATCTTTAATACCCATTATAATTTTTTACTTGCCACAAGAATTTTTTTTATCTTAAAACTTTGAAGGAATAAAAAGTTTTTATTTGAAACCGATTTACACTTACCAATCCAGACATTCTGTTCTGGTGAACCAAAGCCATTTTTATATTCCGTCCAGGTCCTGTTAAATCTCACGGACCCGTCTACGCGTTTCTGAATTGCCTGTAAAAATTAACATACATTACATTTCAATTTATTGCTTTCGAACATTCGTAGGATCCATTTTTTATGAGATAAACTACAATACAATCCTAAAATCCTTAAAACCACCAAAACAAAGTGTGTTATATTAAGTACTTTTAATTATAAAATAAAAAAAAAAACTACCGTCCATCCACCGCCCATCGTGGTCATGTCGCAGTGGACACTTATTGGAATGGTTAATGTTCTGTAGGGGTATATATCATACACCCCTGTGATGGTTTGTCCATTTTCTTGAAGATCTTTGCAATCTTTGGGCATGCTAGAAAAATCTAAAAAAAAATACAGGAAACTTGATAAAAAAAAAATCTTGTTCCCTCGAGAAGGACCTAAAAAATCAAAGAAGGGGGGGGGGGTACACACAAGGCACTGCATTACAGTTTTTCACTGACTTTGATAATACATCTAAATGAAGATGCACACACTCGGTTTTTTTTTCTTTGATGTGAACAAAAGCATGTCTACATATTGAAGATCTACACATGTACCTACATGCACATACATACCTGGCCTGAAATTACAGTGATGGATCTACGGAGCTGGTGCAGACCGTCTCAGTTTTTCATTATTTTTCGAAAGTTTGTCCTCATCTTCTCGTAAAAGGGGTAAACAATGCCTATGTCTCTTATTTCTTCCCTATTTTCTTTAAAGATTAATATCTGGTTAATGCATGTAAACCCACTGCAAAAATCTCAGCTGATGTCGCCACGTTTTTAGATGTAAACAGCATTCCGTGTCAACGAGTGCAAGCGCTTGGCTGAAGCCGAATGCAGCCAAACGACACATAAAAAAGAGAATTATTATAAAGACATGCTGTTTAATATACGAGAAAATTACTAATTATTTTCTATTTAAGCATGAAAATATTGTCGTTTATTACAGATTCTTGCAAACATCGGTAAATACTTATTTTAAGCTCTATTTCCTTGTATGGATCAATCAGGGCGGAGCAACTGTCATGACGTCAGACCTCATCATGACCTCGTTGCCATATTTTTTTTTTCATGTGTTGCCTTAACTGTACAGCGTTGGCGTTAGAATATAGATGAACAAAATTGTAAAAGGAACTAACAGAAACATTTCACTTAACTAAGTCATGTTATATATATCCGCAAAATTTTATTTATCAACCTATATTTTATAATCATCAGTGCATAAAAATTATAAACTTAATTATAAAGTTATATTTTCAAAATTCTATGTTACACTTACTTGCGCAACTATATTTGAAAGAGGCAGAGTCGAGTTTAAAATTGTTTTTCGGGGATAACAAATAAACATGTTATCCTTAAAAGTAGTTTTTCTTTTTATTACTTTTATTTTAAATATATTTAGAATGTATTGAAATGAAAGCGCACTCGCATACATTCCCGACAGTTAACAATTTTATACTATTTCCTTATCATGCTTTTTCACCCATTGCTATATAATGTTACCAGGAGGATGTGGTTTATACACACAGAAGTGTTAAAACTCTTTTTCATAAATGTTTTTGACCAATTAAATTTGACCTCATGTTCAGGTAAAAGCGAAATGCATGCAAAAGTCTACCAAATTGCAATACCAGTGATAAAACAAATGATGAGACGTTCAGTATTTATTTGATGTGTTTCAAAATTAGCAAATATTTACCTAAATCAACAATCAGACAGATTAAATGTGATCCAATTGGATTGGCCGAGGTGGCCTCCGAACTCAGAATCCTGACGAGTCGGATTGGACGAGGTGGCCTCCGGGCTCAGAGTCCTGACGAGTCGGATTGGTCGAGGTGGCCACCAGACTCAGAGTCCTTACGAGTCGGATTGGCCAGGGTGGCCCCGAACTCAGAGTCCTGACGAGTCGGATTGTTCGAGCTGGCCCCGGACTCAGAGTCCTGACGAGTCGGACGTGGATGAGACTGACCTTCGTTAAATAATACTTAAATAAGTAATGATTATAAGCCAAAAACTGTCCATTATGTCAGATATTAGACGACCCGAGTCGCGTTAGCGCCGAGGAGAGTCTAATATCTGACATAATGGTCAGTTTGAGGCTTAAAACTTACTTAAAACATTTCACCATTGTCGAACACTTCCATTGTTAACTTATTGGACAGTCACAGGTAAGGTCTCGTTCTGCTTGGATGACTACCTGGCACTGTTCATCAAGTTAGGCCAAAGAAAACCAGTTTTGGCTTTTCTTCTGTCTTTATCAATAGTGGGAATCATCGAAATGTTTTTTATATCATTAACATTGTTTAGTCTTATTTATCCACATTGCGACATTTTTTATATATACTACGCATGCGTAAAAGTCAGTTCTACTAAATACTTTACAATTTATTCATTTTACAACGCAATGACCACGGATGAAAACTACATTTTAATTTTGAAAAAAAAAGACCTTCAGAATCGGGTGTTTTGACGATGCCATTTATTGATTACACCAAGATGCCTAAGTTCAGGTTTTTACTGTGAAATCCGGATATATATTCTTATGTTTCGGAATTTGCAAGAAACAGTTCCCGTTAAAAGGTAATTTTTGTAAACCAATAGGATTTGAAGGATTTTACTCAAACAACTGTTTATTAAAGCATTTTCTATGAAATTGGGAGATTATTCCTGATGTATTTTTTAAAAATGCAATTCTCTTTTGTGAGCAGGCTTCGAACTCGAAAGGATTTTACACCAGCTACTCCTTAAAACGACAGATACTCAATTAAATGACGCAGGACTAGTTGGACAAATGGTCATAAATCAACGGACGAAATTACAAATTTCGTTGGAATTTTGTGAGCTAAATTTTGTGCTACATGCGGAAAAATAGATATTTCAATAAACAAAAAAGCCCAAAGTTTTGTGTAAGAAAACACATGCTTCTCTTTCATCTTTTGTGTCCATTGGATTCTATATATGTTCCGTGGATCAATCATTGTGAAATGAATCTATTATATTGCAATGAACGGTGAATTTAGGAAATTTATAATCGGAGCCACGGATGCGTTTACAATAATGAATCTGAGACATTCAATTCACTGGATTATTTGTGCCATTTTCAATAGGACTTTTTTGAGAAATATTAACATTTAACGCTACTAATTTTCTCCATTGTTCATATTAAATTGTTTGCTTTGTCATTGCCTTTTACGTGGTGCTGACTTATTTGCCTCGCCCTTTGTTCTCATTTTAACGTTACCTGTACCTGTCCAATAAGTTGAATCTTATTGGACACCTACAGGTAACTTATTGGACGGGGTGCAGGACAATAACAAATTTATTGAACCAGGTTTAACAAAAGATGACGTCACAAAAATGTTTAAATACAAGGCTATTCATTAAAATGTATATAATGATGTAAGTAAATGACATGTGTTGACATTTATTAAAATGAGTGAAAGATTCAGGGGTAGAAATAATTAAATATACATAATGACTCCATAATGACTGATATTTCAGTCTCCAGGCATTAAAATATCAAGAGTCCAAAAAGTGTCACTGTTAAAAAAACAATTAGATTCGTAAAACATACGAGGTTTAAACCAAATGTTTGTGGAATTTCTTTCTAAAATTGTATCATGATTTGATCACAACTTTTGTTCAACATGTCTTAACAAAATATTTTTAGTTTTTAAGATAAAAAGGAAAACATGTGTAAATTTTCGCTCTTTTAGGCGTTCTATTTTTTGACCCCTGTATAGCGCCATTTTTAATAGAGAAATTGAAAAACAAAAACCGATGTGCACAACTTCAATCCTTCTGTTATCTAAAACCAGTAAAATTTCTGCTCCAGCTCTAGTGGTCTTTGAGCCTTTGTCTGGAATGAAAGCCTATAATTTTTTGTTTAAAGGGAAATAACTCAAAACCGGAAGTGACTTTTTGAAATTATCGACAGCATTCTGATAGAGTTTATTACCGTCTATAATGTCTGAAAATTTGAGCAAAATCCATTGAGAAATGAGTGAGATTATAGGCTTCAAAGTTGGCGTCTAGGAAGAAAACAAAAAAAAGAATAATAAGAATAATCTTAATCTTCAGAATCAGTAGAAGGTCTTCCGTTGGAAACGGAAAACCTTAATGACGTTACTTAGCTTTAGATCAAGTTTAATTTTTGTCGACTTCAATGTCTTTTTATAAAACTGTGGATTTTTTTTAATTTTAGAAGGAACCAGATTAGTCCTGCTGGTAGGGGACTAGTATTGCTTATGAAACACTTTCACGATGCTTTAAACTTTTAGATTTTTTATAAATTCCTTAATTATTCAGTACCTAAAATGAATTCTTAATACTTAGAATCTTATTGTTTTCAAAGGTAGATAAACAGGGGACTGATGGTACTTACAACATAGATGCAGAAGATCCGGCCTGTAGTAACTGGTTACGATTCGTTAATTCTCCCGCCAAATATCAACAGGAAAACGTCATTCCTATCACGTGCGAGGGCATCACCTTCTATATGACGTCACATGACGTAGAGCATCTGGTCTGGTATGGTGATGGATATAGGAGATTTTTAGTCGCAAACTGCATACATTTAATCAATACATTTTATGGCTAATTGTTTACACCCGATATATAAACAGTCTAATTATCAGATTATTTTACCATACATAATGTGGTCACAAAAAAAAAATTCTTACATGCTGTCGATTCTTAGGAGGTTTTAAGGAGTAAACCCCATAATTAAACAATTTATTCATAATATGCTTTCCTTTTTATCACATGAATTTAGTAATTATTTTTTATCAAATTGCTCTAATTTGCATTTGATTAAAAAAAAGAAACTCATTCATCAAAAATTATGTAGATTATATTTAAACACCTTTGATAAATAGTGAGATTTTTTTTCATTTTTCATTTAAACTTTTAGGTTAAAAAACTTCTTATTAAATCTGCAAAATACGTTTTCGCAATTTATTAAATTTGATAGTTTCTAATTTCATCTGAAAACCTTATTTTGGAATCAAACACCACCTAAGGGAACTTATAAACTTTGTTCTTCAAATTGAAATATAGTTTGGCCTAGATTTGCTCATGCTCGTTAGATAATATTCTATTGTTACATTTGCCACGACGCTAAAAAAAGGATTCATTCCATTTTAAGGTCTATTGAATTTGGATACAGCAGTTCAATTTTTTTTTAATTTTTTAGAGCATGCAGGATGTAAAGCAGCAAATCTTATTGTATCGGTGGTGTTTCAAACTTGAGGATGATTTAATTTTTTTCGTGTCATTTTCTGCAGAAGTTGATCTAAGCGGTTCATTTGCATTTCGTGCCAATTTTTGACATTTGACGACAATGAAAGACTTATTTTTGATAATTGGACACCAGTTACGTATCAGAACTGGAATTCTAACGATGAGGGTGAGACAGCAGTTGACCCAATCTTTGGCCTCCTTTTGACTTATCATAACGACGGCAGGTGGCGCTGGGTGACTGAGAGGAACTACACGTACTATACAGGAGAAGACGGACTAAAACTCCTCTCTATTTGTGAGGATTCTCCAGTTTATTTGGAGCATGAAGAGTGTTCTGTTACATAATGATTCATTTTCTTTTACTTAAAATAAAAATTTGCAACCGTTATCTTTTGTTATATAATTTCATTAAGCATGGTGTATAAATTTCTAAATCATTAAATGGAGTATTCTTAAGTTAACGTCGGATCGTATATTCTTCTCCTCTAGATTTATCCTTGGATCGTAAATTACTTTCCTCGGAAGATATCTCAATTCATCCTCGGATTGTATATTCGTCTTCTCGGAAGAGATCTAGGTTAATCCTCATGTTTTAAATAAACTATGAATAGCATGTACACAAAGACAGACAGTACATTATATTGTTTCGTTATTTTCCCAAGGAAACTGACCGGGATCTCCTCTAACCATACATACAAACATTTTAGCACAAAGTGTTGTTTTTAAAATTTCTATCCGTAATCCAAAAAATAAGGGGCAAATATATTTTCCTAGGATGGTCGGTCCAGTTTGTTTGTTGTTTTGTTTTTCTTCTGATTTATCTGTAATTGGGGAAATCAATTAGCCCTGACTACAGCCTTTAATTGGTCTGAGCTACAGATTTCATATTTCACAGGTTTTTTTTTTAGTTTGACGGTTAATTAGGAATTTGAGCCTTGGTCATATGAACTATGGCTTTAATATTTTACAGGTGTATTCAACGTGTAGAAACTTTTCCTAGGGTAAAAGTATTTTTGACTTTTACCTTTATGTTTGACTCGCATTTAAAGAAATTTTCAAAATTTTATTCTTAGCCATAGCTACTACACGGTTAAATCAAGTAATATCATACTCCTCACGCTTATGTTTTGATATGACCTTCTCTTGAGTACAAGCACTAATGACCTTTAACCTTGATCTTATGGATTTGACCTCCTTTTCAAAAACGTTAACTTTGGGCGTATTTACTGAATATTTAGTGCTAGGGGTTAACTATTTTACCGGTTCATTTCTTGTGGTAAGAGCTTCTGTTGTACACTAATATTTTCTTTTTATACTTTACCCTTTTATTTGGACATCAGACTTTGACCTTCTTTTGAAAAACTTTGGTATTAACTTTTTTAATGGTTGATTTCGTGACTTTAATATTTCCCCTCTGTATTCTTTCTGAAATTCTTTCGGGAATTATTAATATTGACTCCTTGACCTTGTCCAGTTTGACCTACTTTTGAAAATCTCTAACTTTGGTCATAATTACTGAACTGTTCCTGCTTTTATGGTTTTTATTTTAGAGGGTAGACTCATTGTAAGGAACGTTTCTTTTGGTACCAAAACTACTTTTATATTGACCTTGGTGTTTGACCTGCAAACCACAGCATTTATCATAAGCCTCTTTGTTTCACAAACTTTTCTTGAATTTTTATCATTAGCTCCTAAAACTTTTCCTATTGATTTAATAACAAATTTCAAGTTGTAGTCTATCAACTTTTTTGGATATACTAGTGTATAAACCATCCTTTACACATTGCATAAAGGAGAATGACTTGTCACACATATTGAATCATTTTTTAAAGATGTAGTCTCATAATTACAAAAGTTTTTGCAAACATATTGATTAATGTTAACTTGCTTTTTATTTGCAAAGGCAGTTGCAAATATAAGATAACATCTTTTAAAAAACAATGAATCAGTGCTTATTTTTTATTTTTTATTCTTACTCCTTGTCTTGTTTTGCAAATTTTTTTCTAACTTACTTGAAATATCTCTAACCTAAATAACAATAAATTTAAATGATCTCAAATTTTGCTTTTAACGTTTGTGACGTCAGAATAAAACGCATATTACACATGTAACCTTTTAATCCCCGACCTGTATTAGTGTGTTTTGAAATAAAAAAAAAATAAAATATTACAGTATCGATATAAGTCTGCTATAACGTATTTTGTGCTTTCAAGAGCAGAAAGCTCTTTTATTAATGACTATTTGTAGCAATATAAGATATTGATCTTCAGAAAATATGATTTTTCTTTTTACTTTAAGCTCATAATCTAGTATCATGGAGAATCTAGTATCTTTGCGTTTCTTGCCACACCTAAAATTCAAGCTATCTAAATATATTCATGGTATAATTAGATTTGTGGAAAGAAATATTCAGTACGGCTCACTTCAACATTTTAGCTTATTTTCTCCATAATATTAAAAATAACAATAATTTCAATTAAAGTGGTTTCAAGTATATTAATGGATCTTTGAATGCTCATCAATTAAAAATACTGCATGGATGAAAAAAGATGGGGATATGTTTTTAGAGAAGTATAATCTTAGATGTATTGTACCACAAAATATGACCGTCAAATATATCTATGATTTTTAAAGAAAAAATATCTTAACATCTTTATTACAATGAAACTTGTCTTATCCGACATGCACGGGGAACAGATTAAAATATATGTGTTGGAATAAACAACGTGTAGTATTGCAGTGTTTGAAGATCATTGAGATAATTATAGATGACAAATGAAATTAAATGGCTGAAATCACAGTAAAGAGTACTGCATTTGTCGGATTAAACAGGTTCCACTGTAATAGGTTTAACTATAAAGTAATCTTCATCCTAATTCTCCGCCCAGTTATCTCCATTTATCAGTGTTTGGAAAAAAAGAACGAAATATTTCTATTTTCAAATTTATTACAACACATATAAAGTACATTATTTACTGAATACATTCAGTATCGCTTTACAGAACAGTTCAATCTCCCTTCTTTTATTGTTTGTTACTTGATGTTAAATATTAAAAAAAAGAACTCAGCGATAAAAATTAATTTAAAATCGTCTCTTGAGGGTTTCCATAATCCATGGATGATCTTTCGTCTGTTAAAAAAAATTAAATCAATGCTTTACAGATAAATGTATAATAACATATTTTTTTTGCTATTTCCAAAAAAAAGCAACTTTTATAACTGAAATTTTTAGAATAATACAAAGAGAAAAAAAATGGATATTAAGGTCAAGATCTAGTAAATAACTAGAGACTACTTTTTGGTGCTAGATCCATTATGACGTCATAATCAATTTCAATTTCTTTTTCCCGTACTTTACAGCTTTAGCAAAATTATGTAGAAAATATGGTATTTTAATGACATTCAAGTTGAAATCATAAGAAAAGTAAACTGGATACCTATATTAAATTTGGTATTGTTTTAAAGAAGAGGCCATGAACATACTAATTACCGTTTTCTGAGAGACTGTAGGCAATCTGGATACATTTCCTTTGTCGAATATGAGAAAAACTCCTATATTCATGACTGGTTTTCTTAATTTTTCATTGAAAATGAGAGTTTATTATACCGTTTTTCATCTTGTTTATCTACAAATTATGCCCCGAAACACCTTATTTGACCAAGCTAAAGTTGTAAAGCATCAATAAAGGAATTTATTTCTCAAGTTTGGTAAATCTGTAGGCATCTTTCATTTACTAGATCTTGACCTTAAGATGTAATGATGTTTACCTAGTTACGTCTGATCATCATGGTGGTCCCTATCACTGACGTCCCACTCGTTACTGTAGGATACCATGGATACCAGACTCCCGGGGACCATTGACCATTAAGGAAGGCGCGGTGACAGATATTGAACCACCAGCCTCCTCTACGGGTACTGTCAGCAGCACAGTTAAATCCACTTTCTCCGTCGTTATCTTTGTCTGGGGTGGAGAAGGACATCCCAGACAGATCTCTGTTACGATTACCGGTGTCCAACATACTGTCTCCTGTAGAATTAAAAAAGAAAAATATACATGGACACTTGTTTAAAATAGATCAGTAGATTTATATCCACTATACTCGTCGTGATCTCTGTCTGGGTGGAGAACATCCCAGACAGATCGTGGTAAAATAAAACATAACATACTGTCCCCTGTAAAATCAAACAAAAAGAATCACAAAGTTAATTGATTTATATATTTTTAATCTAATTGTCAATAATAATACTGAGGTACTTCTAAAGATAGACGACTTAAGGTGCTGGGTAGAGCGATAATATTTATTTAGTTCAGTCATTGAATCCCCGATGTCTATCATACTGGTACCTGCAGAATTAGAGAAAATATATAACAGAGATAATAATTATTAATTTACATCAAATTAATCTTGATAACACTACACAATTCACATAGCATCCTTCTAGTGTAACAATAAACAACAGACCTGTTACACTTTTAAGCATGGTATTATTGGGGGGGGGGGGGGTTAAAGGTCATTTGAAATTTTAGAAAATATGAAAAAATGAAATTTTAATATTTGTCCGAGAACGTGCCTTCAAACATGTATAACATGCAATACTAAGTAAATCATTAATAACGAGATAAGATATGGTGTATCTGTGAATGTTTTAAGATGGTAGATTTCCTATTAAATAAATGTAAATGTTAAACACGTAAAGGTCTTTTGAAATTGGCTTTTAAAGCTTTTTTTTATTTGAATATTTATCCGATCAAATATTTTTTATCATCAAATTTTCGTAAACCTGTCGACATTTAAGATTAATGACGCACTGTAAACTTCTTATTCAGTAGTAGTAAAAAATGTGGATCATTGAAAATCAGATTATTATTTAATTATTATTATTGTAAACTTTTTCCGTATTAGTTAAAATGTGAATTATCAAAAATTATCAGGAACCCAAGCTGAAAAGCAATGTTGAACAAATGTAATTATTGGATTTGTTTGTTAAAAAATTAGCATAATTTTTCCTTGTACATAAGATGTATAATTAGAATTTTTATCTACTTGACAATAACAAAATCGATATCTGCTGAATATGTGAATTGTACCTACAAATGATATTCTGAAATATTAGACATGTTTAATTAGCGTGGAATCAAAAACGTATGCAGAATATCAGAAAAAAACACATCTTTCTCTTTTTTTCAAGAACTTATAATCTGTTTATACAGAAAAGAATAATCATGATGATATACATAATTTAAACCTAATTTTAAGAACTAAACCTGAATACATTTACCTAGGGTCCCCGTGGCAGGTCCTGCAAGAAAGAGTTGATATTTTCCAGCTTCGTCGGAGACAGAGAATCCATCATACATTTCATACAGCGTTGTACCATTCTCGAGAGTGATAGACACATAAAGGGATGATGAGTTTTCTTTTGTTAATTGATGGATTACGTCATTTCCTGTATTAAGATATATTTAAAATCAATTATTTGAGATATATATCAATTAAGTACGATATGTGAATATCGTAGAACACATATTACCTAGTCTTAAATTCAAATCTTAATTACGCTTTTTATTTTTTCACCTATCACATGAATGTTTTATCTTTAAACTAAGAAGGGATAAAAAGTTCTTATTTGAAAGCGATTTATACTTACCAACCCAGACATTCTGTTCCGGTGAACCGAAACCATTTTTATATTCCGTCCAGTTTCTGTCAAAGATCACGGATCCGTCTACGCGTTTCTGAATGGCCTTTGAAAATTAACATGCGTAACAATTCAATTTAGAGCTTCGAACAATCATTTATTACGATATTAACTCAAAATATTCATATTAATTTTTATTTTACAATATATTATGTATTTTTAATTTTAGAATAAACAACATACCGTCCATCCCCCACCATTTGTGGTCATATCGCAGTAAACATTTATTGGCATTATTAATGTACTGTAGGGGTATATATCATACACCCCTGTGATGGTTTGTCCGTTTTCTCGAAGATCCTTGCAATCTTTGGGCAAGCTAGAAAAATCTAAAAAAAAAAAAAAAGAAAAATAATAATACCAGAATCATACAATGTATATGTACAAGAAGTGAGAGGATATATGATGCCTGCATGATATATGAACGTTAATTGTTGGAGCTAAAACATTAACTACATTTACAATGTGTACCATGTATGTCAAACAGTTCATCATTATCTAAATCATTCTTGTTTTCTATTTGATACAAATCTTTGATTAAGGACATGATTAAAAATATTAGAAAATTTAATACAATCATTTTCAATTCTTTGTTGATTGAAAGAAAAGTAAAAGAGGAATACATGTGTAGATAAGATGATAAACAATTTAGACACTGAAACAGATGTTGAAAAATGAAATAAAAATCAGGATATCCTTTTTATGCATGATACAATGTATGTGAAATTGAACATTTCGTAGATTCTTGGGTGTTACAATGACTATGATTTCCAACACTGTCTATCGTATCAAACTTGATCAAAAATCGTGTCCTCTCGAGAAAGACCTAAGAAAAGAAGCTAAAAGAATAAAATTTAAAAAAAAATTACATACCGTTATCCGAGTAGTATCTCCAACCGGTCTCATCAGACAGCCCAGATGTAAGACTTTCCTTGTGGGTACGGCATTTCTTCGTTTGTGAGTTAAAGCCAAAGAAGCTGCACTCCCTTTGACAGATTGTGGCGCACTCGATCAAGGAATGAGCATTGTGTTCCCCGAAAAGTTCATAGTTTGACTTCTTATCATTGAATTCGAGTTTCGCTGTATATTTCTTAGAAATAAAAGTAGCTTTAGATAAAGCTAAGAAGCCTACAATTAAAGTGATAACCCACTGATTGCTCATTATTTTTTTTTTTGCGAAAAAAAAAACCCTGCCGCGTTCTTGCTAATCTGTGAAATTCTGCTAAATGGTCTTTCAACAGCCAGATATATATATATATATATATATATATATATATATATATATATATATATATATATATATATATATATATATATATATATATATATATATATATATATATATATATATATATATATATATATATATATATATATATATATATATATATATATGTCGTACCATAATCAATGTCTGAAAAGTGATTGGTTTACTGTTACGTATTCTAGATTTCATTATTGTTTAAGTATCGATTTTATTGAAGTTCATATGAATTCTCATGAATTATCATAAACGTTTATTTTGAAATTGCAATTTAAAATTTAACAATGAAAGGTGTTCTATTTTTAATTTAGTTATTGCCTGTTATGTTATGATATTGTACAATGTTTTTATTAGCTATCAACTCAAACTGAATGAAATTAGAAATAAGGAATTTTGTAAAATTCATATATCTGAATTTTTAAGAATTTATTGATTTATTTCAGCTTTGGTACATCAGCCTCTAAATGTTAATGTAACACAATATATCATCATTGGTTTATTTTTTGAAATTGCAATAAGAATGCTTTTAAGCGCATTAAAACTTTTTTTTAAAAATGAATAGTACATACGATAGATGTTCAAATTAAAGAATCGTAATATGTTGTTAAAATGACATAGGAGTCGATACCGGAGGAAGGGGGCCTTAACCATAGATAGACAGTGGTAATTTGGATTTACCTTTATTTGTAGATCCCCGCACATACACACACTTTCTATTAGCCCCCCTAACATTCAATTTGCTTCCGACGCCCATGAATGAGACCCAATTTGGTGATTTATTTAAAGGAAACGGATAAATACTATTCAAAGCTAATTCACTGTGAATTAGCTGCTTTTATCGAAGGAAGTACATATTTAAATGCTTTACCTAAATCTCAGTACTTATTCCTAGTGATTATCGTTCTTGTCAAATATTTTAGTTCATTATCCCCCCTTTTAATAAAAAAAAAACACCTGAGGTCGCTTTGGTTTCAACTTCGTTTTTCAATATTCCAGCATCATCTTGGGTCGGTAAAAATTTTCCAGCTTGTTATTGTGTATTTTTAATTTATAACAACCACCCACCTCACCCATTTAGAATAGATACAGCTTTTTTGGTTTTTTTAGTCGTAGAGCCGGGTGAAGAGCTTCTGGTCTGGTATGGTGACGGATATGGGAGGTTTTTAGGCGTAAACCGCATACATCCGGGTAATGAAACATATATTTTATGGTTAATTGTTTCCATCTGGGTATTTAAACAATCTCCTTATCAGATAAATTGACCATATACAATGTGGTCATTAAAACATTTTTATGTCGTATTTTTGTCGTGTCCGTCCCTCTGTCTGTCGGTCTGTCTCTCTCTCTCTCTTTGTGTGTCTCTCTGTCTGTTTGTCCGTTTGTACGCAAAAACTTTAATAAGGCCCATAGCTTTCGATTTAGTGGAGCTATGACTATTATTTTTCACACATGTATTCTTTGTGATAAGACCTTTCTTAGGGTACCACATAACTTGACATTTTGACCTTGACCTATGAGTTTGATCTAGTTTTACACAAAAATTCCAAACTTTTACGTTTGCCATATCATTGGAACAGTGGATACCAAGATTGTTATAATTTACATATAATTCACATATATACTTTTTGTTAAGAAATTTTTTATTGGATACCAAAAACTTTGACCTTGGAGATTTTAGTACTTGTTTAAGCTTGGCCATAACGTTTGAACGGTAAGGACAAGACCTTTTATTTGATATTAAAAACCTTGACCCTTTGACTTTGACCTTGGAGTTTGACATATTTTTACACAAAAAATCCAAACTTTTACTTTGGACCTAATTCTTAAACGTTAGCGACTAGGAATATCATATTCTGAATATCAATTCTTTGTGACTAGAGCTTTCTATTGAAAGTACTAGTTTTGACATTTTGACTTTAGATATTTCCGTATTAACAAGAAAACTTTCACTTTGCCCATAACTTTTGAATTGTACGGTTTAGGTCTTTCAATCTTAATTTAT